CCCTACACGTTTTCTTTTTTCATACATAGATTTAGATATCATGATTCTTTATAGTTAAAAAATTAGAAGAATGAAAGAGTATAACTGGATTTTTGTATCTTCTGTGTTTTTTGCCCCCCAAATACCACTTTTTCCCCAATAGAAAAGCAATACATGCTTATTATTTAAAAAATTTAAAAAAAAAAAAACTTGGGAGAAATCAGAAAGTAGGGGAAAAAACCCAAAAATCAGCCAATAATCTACCACCAGAATATTAATATTTTGGTATATGTGTTTCCAGGCTCCTATGGGTATGTATTTCTTGCCCCTACCCAAAGAGATCAGAATGTTTATGCTGCTCTCTTTTACTAATCCTTATACTCCCATGTACTGTGAACTTTTTTTTTTTTTTGGCTGCATTGGGTTTTTGTTGCTGCACTTGGGCTATCTCCAGTTGCGGCGAGCTGGGGCTACTCTCTGTTGCAGTGCGCGGGCTTCTTATTGCGGTGGCTTCTCTTGTTGCAGAGCATGGGTTCTAGGTGCGCAGGCTTCAGTAGTCGTGGCTTGCGGGCTCTACAGCGCAGGCTCAGTAGTTGTGGTGCATGGGTTTAGCTGCTCCGCGGCATGTGGGATCTTCCCAGACCAGGGCTCAAACCCGTGTCCCCTGCATTGGCAGGCGGGTTCTTAACCACTGCGCCACCAGGGAAGCCCATACTGTGAACGTTTTTTTAAATGCTCTTATAAATTCTTTGAAAACTTACCTTTTAATAGCTAGTTGGTTATATTGATACCATAATTTATTAATTAATCCTTTATTGGTGAACATTGCCTTCCCTCCCATGATTTGCTGTTACAATTAAAGCTGTGAGTAGATTATTTAGGGGTTAAAAAAAAACCAAAATACAACACCAGGACATCCCCAGCAGTCCAGTGGTTAAGACCCTGCCTTCCAATGCAGGAGGCGCAGGTTGCATCCCTAGTCGGGGAACTACGATCCCACATGCCCATGCCATGCAGTGTGGCCAAAAAAAAACCAAAACAGAACAAAACACAACACCTGTGAGTAGTGTCCCTGTTACACGTATCTTTTTGTACTTGTTGCCTTATTTCCTCATGTTTCATTCTTGGAGGTGGCATTGCTGGGTGAGATAAAGGGTGCATGTTTTACCCTTTGTGTGCATGTTTTAAGGCTTTTTTTTTTTAATATTTTTATTTTTTGGCTGCATCTGGTCTTAGTTGTGGCACGCAGCATCTTTCGTTGCAGTGCACAAGCTGGTCTCTAGTTGTGGTGCGTGGGCTTCTCTCTAGTTGTGGCACATGGGCTTCTCTCTAGTTGTGGCTCACCGGCTCCAGAGCATGTGGGCTCTGTAGTTGTGGCACGCAGGCTTAGTTGCCCCGCGGCCCTCACCAGTGAAGTATGAGCATTTCCATTTCATATACATGTACCAGTACTGAGTGTAGTTTTTTCTTAAGTTTCCACTCTGAAGGTTAAAATAATGGCATTTGGTTTTGTTTAATTTCTAAGGAAGGTGAACATTTTAAGAATGTGTTAGCCATGTATATTTCTTTTGTTTAATACTAATTCTAGACCTTGGCTCCATTTGTCTTTTGACAAGCTTTTCTTTTTCTTATTTGAAGGAAGCTCTTTTTATATTGAAAATAATGACTATTACCTATTCTGTTTCTATCTCAGTGGTATTTGAGGCTTTGTGGCTAGGTTTTAAATTTTGTGTTGTATTTTTTTTGAGTAAGTAATATAAACACATGGAACACAGTTTAGACAGCACAAAGGGTATATAGTGATGAGGTAATTGTGTATCCTTTCAGAGATATTCCATGTATACACAAGCATATAATATATATGTATATGTATCTTATTACTCAAATTTGAGCAAACCCTACACACTATTTTGCACCTGTTGTTTTTTCATTTACTACTACATCTTAAGATTGTTTCTTATATTGCCCCTTATTTTTTAAGGGCAGCAATTATAGTTCGTTGTAGGATGGACTATAATTGGACATTCAAGTTGTTTCTTATCTTTTGGTATTAAAAAAAAAATAATGTGGGGACTTCCCTGGTGGCACAGTGGTTAAGAATCTGCCTGCCAGTGCAGGGGACACGGGTTCGAGCCCTGGTCCTGGAGGATCCCACATGCCGCAGAGCAACTAAGCCTGTGCACCACAACTACTGTGCCTGCGCTCTAGAGCCCATGAGCCACAACTACTGAGCTCACATGCCACAACTACTGAAACCCGTGTGCCTAGAGCCTGTGCTCCACGCCAAGAGAAGCCACCGCAACGAGAAGCCCGCGCACCGCAACAAATACCCAATGCAGACAAAAATAAACGAATAAATAAATTTATTTTTTTTTAACGATGTAATTACTATTCTTATATGTCCATGATTTTACAAGTGTCTAGCTGGATTTTAAATCCATACTGCATCTGAAATTTGACCACCTATTGTAGGTCTCTAAAAGCTTTCCTGGCAAATTAGTTCCCTGTAAAGACTTGAGGATATGGGGAGGGGGAAGGGTGAGGTGTGTTAGGGCGAGAGAGAGACATGGACATATATATACTAACAAACGTAAGGTAGATAGCCAGTGGGAAGCAGCCGCATGGCACAGGGAAACCGGCTCGGTTCTTTGTGGCTGTCTGGAGGGGTGGGATAGGGAGGGTGGGAGGGAGGGAGACAAAGAGGGAAGAGATATGGGAACATATATATATGTATAACTGACTCACTCTGTTATAAAGCAGAAACTAACACACCATTGTAAAGCAATTATACCCCAATAAAGATGTTAAAAAAAATAAAAATAAAAATAAAAAAAAAAAAAGAAAATAATAGTAGTATGACTGCATTGCGTAATACAGTGTACAGAGCACCTTGGTTCACTTAATCCTTATCAGATAGAGCAGGTACTATTATCTCCATTCCCAGATGAGAAACCTGAGGCTATTCAGACCTAGAGGCAGAAATGATTAATGTTTATACTACCTACTGGCTTCAGTACTTAAATATTTAAATGTGCTGCATGAGCTGCACAACTTGTAGTACCCATTGCACAAGTGTCACTACCCCAAGCAGGTGGATTATTCTGCTTAGACTTTTTGCCAGGTAAGCTAAATAGAATCCCATACCCCCACCCTCCAAAATACTGTCTATCTGTAAATTATCTATGACAAGGACTTTCTGACCACATTTTTGCACATCTAAAGAAATGAGACCCAATTGTCTTATTGGGAAGCTAAAACTTCTGGGATGAAATAATATGTCCAAAATCAGATGATAGGTTTTTGGATTGTGATGTTAGTGTGGTTTTAGTAGAGATTTGACTTGAGATCCTCAAGGCAGCATACTTTGTAAAGAAATAATCTGAGAATACCCGGTAGGTCAATAGGTTCACTCTCCGTAAGCTAACACCAAAGAAATGGAACAGGAGGAAATCTTTAAAGATCCAGAGATAAGACACCTCTGATCTTAATAGAAGTCTTAGTTTGAAGGAACTTTTATCCATCAGATCATCTGATTCTGTAAGAATAAGAAAAATGGAGCATCCTTGTCTTCCTCTAACAGGCTACTGCCTCTCAGAAGACATAAGTTTTGCCAAATTTTCTAAGTATCTAAATGCTAAGAGTGTTCCAGGGGCCCAATCCATGGACTCTCCAGTCTCCCTCTGGTGAGTCATCCATCCGAATAGCTTCAAACGTCTTCTGCCGTGGCTCTCAAATTTATATTTCTAGCCTGACCATTTTACTGAATTCCAGGCTTATATATGCACTTGGATTATTAGGCAGCTCAAATTTAAGATGAATTGAATTCTCATTTCCCTGCCCAGTCTTCTTCTCTGAGGCTTCCCCATCTCAGCAAGTGGCCTCTCCATTTACACCTTTGCTCAGAGCAAAATCCTTAGGGGGTCATCCTTGACTCCGCTTTCTCCTGTGCCCCACATTTGATTCATTAGAAATCCTTTTGGCTCTAACATCAGAGTGTATTTTGGATCCAACCACTATTTTCCCCAGATTTACTGTGATGTAATTGACACACAATTTTAAGATATTGAAAGTGTATGTTGTGATTTGTTGTACATTGAATCTGACTACTATTCACCATCTGTACTAACAGAAGCCATCTCTCTTGCCTGGACTACTACAGTAACCCCCCAATAGGTTTCCTTCCTTCCCTTCTGCCTCAGTTTATTCTCCACCTAGCAGCAGAGTGAACCTTTTAAAATGTACATCTGGTCACATTGCTTCTGGCTCTGGTGGTTTTCTATCATTTAGAGTGAAGACCAATCCTTACTGTGCTCTGCACGTCTGTATGGTTTGGAACCTGGCTTCCTGTAGCCTCACCCTTGCTATTGCACTCAGCCACGCTGCTAGCCTCCTTGCTGTTCCTTGAGAACAGGTATGCATCTACCTGAAGAGTCTTCCAACTTGCTTTTCTTCCTGGAATGTTCCTCCTCCCCCTCCCCCTACCTCTCAGATTTACATGGTTAGATTTACGTGGTTATGTTGTTCAGGTCACTGCTCAAAATAAGTTCATTCCTAACCACCTTGTCCAAAATAGTAGCTTCCCCTTCCCTCTCTATCCCTTTACCCTGTTTTACTCTTTATTTAGCATTTTAAAAATTGAGATAAAATTCACCCTTTAAAAGTATATCATTTCAGGGAATTCCCTGGCGGTCCAGTGATTAGGACTCCGTGCGTCCACTGCAGGGGGCATGGGTTCAATCCCTGGTCAAGGAACTAAGATCCTGCAAGCGGCGTGTGGCACAGCCAAAAATAAATAAATAAAGTATACCATTTCAGTGGTTTTAGTATATTTACAGAGTTAAGTATTTATTACCACTATCTAATTCTAAAATATTTTTATCATTCTAAAAAGAAACCCCATACTCATTAAAGTCACTCCTCATCCCTCCCTATCCACCTCTACCCTC